AGGGTGTATGATCTTCTTGATGACCCTCTGTATTCTGTTTGCCAGTATCTTATTGAGGATTTTTGCATCTATGTTCATTAGGGAGATTGGCCTGTAGTCTCTTTTTTGGTTGGGTCTTTCTCTGCTTTTGGAATTGAAGTAACACTTGCTTCCAGGAATGAATTTGGAAGTATTACTTCCCTTTCAATTTCACTGAAGAGTTTAAAGAGTAGTGGCAATAGTTCTTCTCTAAATGTCTTGTAGAATTCATCAGTGAAGCCATCATGACCTGGGCTTTTCTTTGTTGGTAAATTTTTAATTACGTTTTCAATTTCACTCATTGTAATTGGGGTGTTTAGAATATTTTGCTACTGTCATTTTAAAAAGAGGTGATGAGAGTCTCAATTTCTCAGGACCAAAAGGATAAGAGTTGACATTTCAGAAAGTAATGCTTTATAGGTTTTGGTCAATGTTAGTGGCATTAATCACCAAACCGTTGATTTCACAAAGGCAGAGATGAAATAGTTGCCACTAGAGCATAAGAAGAGGTATGGGAAGAGAAAGCAGAGTGAGGCTGGATAACTAAAACACAATTATGTAGGAAGAATAACTTCTAATGTTTTACAGCACATTAGGAGGACTATAGTTCACAAGAGTTTGTTATTTATTTTATAAAGAATTAGAACAAAGGCATTCAAAGCTTCCCAACATAAAAAAATGACAAATGTTTAAGGAGAAGAAAATGCTAATTACCCTGAATTCATCAGTACACATGTATGCATATATCAAATTGTTATAAATATGTACAATTACTGTGTACAATATGTATAATTACTGTGTGCCAATCAAAAATACATACTGTTTACAAAAGGAGAAAACAAGCCTAAAGAATGTACTACAAGTGAGCTAAGGCTTAATCATGGGTAAAATAGGCAGGTATGTAGACCAAGAGGTGAAAAGGCTTGAGTAAAGTTGCCTTTCCATCAGGTGAAAAGAAAATGGAATTGCAGGACCCTGCCACAGGCAGTTAGATATTAGGACATTTTTTCTTAAGCGTGTTGTATGGAACATCAGTGTGCACAGAAGCTCTGAAAATACGACCTTCCTAGTAGTCAAAGTCCTTTGTATCTACAAATTTCTCTTGGTAATTCCTAGCAAATACTTCAGTACTAAAGCTTCTCAGGGGTCTGAGAGAAAATACACTTGTTTGGCTGTTGACCTCTGTCTGCGTCTGCCTTCTGAA